AATTAAAATTTTTTTTACCAACTTCTGCAGTCTGAAATTGATCAAACATGTAATCAAGATGTACTGATCATTACTGGTGATTGGAACAGGAAAGTTGGGAACAAAGAAGAATCACCATAGATGGAAAATATGGCCTTGGTGATAGAAATAACGCTGGAGATGGCATGACAGAATTTTGCAAGATTAACAACTTATTCAGTGCAAATACCTTTTTTCAACAACCTAAATGGTTGCCATACATGTAGACTTAGTCAGATGGAGTACACAGGAATCAGATTGACTACATCTGGGGAAAGAGGCAAAGGAAAAGCTCAATATCTACAGCCAAACAAGGCCAGGAGCTGACTGTGGAACAGACCATCAATTGCTCATATGTAAGTTCAAGTTGAAACTGAAGGAAATTAAAACAAATCCATGAGAACAAAAATATGACCTTGATTATATCCCTCCTGAATTTAGGGACCATCCAAAGGACAGATTTGATGTACTGAACACCAATGACCAAAAACCAGAGGAATTTTGAATGACATCAAGAACATCATCCATGAAAAAAAGTAAAAGGCCATTAAAAAGAGAGGAAAAGAAGAAAAGACCAAAATAGATGTCAGAAGAGACTCTGTAACTTGCCTTTGAGTGGAGAGTAGCTAAAGAAAATGGAAGAAATGACAAGACAAAAGAGCTTAACAGAGGATTTCAAAGAGCAGCTCGAGCAAACAAAGACAATAATTCTAATGAGATGTGCAAACCCTTGGAATTAGAAAACCAAAAGTGAAGAACATGCTCAGCATTTCTCAAGCTGAAAGACTAAAGAAAAAATTCAAGCCTTAAGTTGCAATATTGAAAGATTCTATGTGCAAAATTGAATGATGTAGAAAACATCAAAAGACGATGTCAGGAATACACAGTCACTGTACCAAAAACAATTTGTCCATGTTCATCCATTTCAGAAGGTGGCAAATGATTAAGAACCAATGGTATTGGAGGAAGGAGTTGAAGCTGCATTGAAGGAAGTGATGAAAAACAAGGCTTCAAGAATTGACAGAATACCCATTGAGATGTTTCAACAAATAGATGCCATGCTGGAGGCACTCCTTTGGCTATGCCAAGAGATTTGGAAGATAGCTACCTGGACAACTGACTGGAAGAGATCCATATTTATACCCATTGCAAAGAAAGGTGATCTCACATAATGTGGAAATTATCAAACAGTATCATTAATATCACACGCAGATAAAGTCTTGCAAAAGATAATTCAGAAATGCTTGCAGCAGGAAACTTCCAAAAATTCAAGGAGGATTCAGAAGAGGACATGGAATGAAATATCATTACTGATGTCAGATGGATCTTGGCTGAAAGCATAGAATACCAGAAAGATGTTTACTTGTGTTTTATTTTCTATGCAAAAGCATTTGATTGTGTGGATCATAATAAATTACGGCTAACTTTGAGAAGAATGGGAATTCCAGAACAATTGATTGTGCTCATGAGGAACCTGTACGTAGACCAGTAGACTGTCATTCAAACAGAATAAGGGGATACTGCATGGTTTAAAATCAGGAAGGATGTGTGTCAGGGTTGTATCCCTTCACCATACTTACTCCATCTGTATGCTGAGCAAATAATCTTAGAAGCTGGATTATATGAAAAACATAACACACTGTGATATGCTAATGACATATCCTCGCTTGCTGAAAGTGAAGATGACTTGTAGCATATACTGATGAAGATTAAAGACTACAGTCGGCAGTATGGATTACACCTCAACACCAAGAAAATGAAAATCCTCACAACTGGACTGATAAGCAGCATCACAATAACTGGAGAGATGATTGAAGTTGTCAAGGATTTCATATTATTTGGATCCACCATCAAAACAAATGGAAGCAGCAGTCAGGGAATCAGACTATTTCACTGAGTAAATCTTCTGCAAAAGACCTCTTTAAAGTGAAGAGCAAAGATGTCCCTTTGAAGACTAACATAAGCCATGGTATTTTCAACTGACTTATGACAGCATATGAAAGCTGGACAATGAGTAAGGAAGATAGAAGAGTTTATGCTTTTGAGTTGTGGTGTTGGAGAAGAATACTGAAAGTAACATAGACTGCCAGAAGAACTAGCAAATCTGTCCTGGAAGAAGTGCAGCCAGAATGCCCTTTGGAAGCGAGAATGGACAGACTTTGCCTCACCTACTTTGATCATGTTGTCAGAAGGGATCCCTCTCCGGAAAAGGATGTCATGCTTAGTAAAGTGGAGGGTCAGAGAAAAAGGGGAAGAACCTCAGCATAATGGATTGACACAGTGACTACAAGGATAGACTCAGGTATAGAAAGGATTGTGAGAATGGCACAAACTGGGCACCATTTTGTTCTGTTGTAGGTAGTGTTGCTAAGGGTTGGGGCAGACTTGACTGGCACCTAACAACAACAACAATCTGCTTGTCTATTGCCATTTTCAAATTATATTATGAATGTATATTATCTCATCTTGTATCAGTCTGTACCTTAGCCTTTTTATTTCTCATTGTCTTTCATGACAGTTCCCCTTTCCAGTCTTACTTATGGTAGATGATCAGTAAATATTTATAGTTAACTATAATTATCTGAGGAGCTCTGATAGCATAGTTCCTAAGGCACTTGACTGCTAACCAGAAGGCTGGCGGTTCAAACCCACCAGCCACTCCTTGGAAGGAAGATTGGGCAATCTGCTTCCGTAGTGAAACCAACCACCTCAGAAACCCAAGGAGGGGTCACTATGAGTTGAGTCTGACTCAATGGCACATAACAACAACAACAACAACATAATTATCTGAGGTTATGTAATTCCTTTTTTACCAGCTATCATCAAAGCTTTTTAATTTCTATAATATTATGTCATGTTAAATTCCGAGATGTCTAGTATTAAATACAGGAGCTCTGATAGCGTAGTGCCTAAGGTACTTGACTGCTAACCAGAAGGCTGGTGGTTCAAACCAACAAGCCACCCCTCGGAAGGAAGGTTGGGTAATCTACTTCTGTAGTGACACCACCTCGGAAACCCAAGGAGGGGTTGCTATGAGTTAGGTCTGACTCAACGACATGTAACAACGACAACAACAGCATTATTAAATATATCCAGGTAATCTCTTGTGATGGTTGGAGCTGTGTGTCAACTTGGCTGGACCACGATTCTGTGTGGTTTGAGCAATTATGATGTGGGTTGTTCCCATGATGGGATCAGATGTATATGTTTTGAGCAGCCAATCCATTGAAGGGGAGTTTTCCTAGGGGTGTGGCCTGCTTCTAGTGTATTTGTGGACATCCTGGGAAAAGAGATGCTCTTCTTCTGTGGATCGAGATTCTGTTGTGCTGTCTACAACTGTCCATGAGCGAACAATTCACCATTCAGCCTGGAGATCTTAGATTCTTCATTCGCTGGAGTCAACAGCCAGTATACTGCCTGCCAACCTTGAGCTCGTTAGTCCCTGCAGCTGCCTGAGTCATGAAAAGCCTCCAGCTTGAAGTTTAATCCAAGAACTTGTGACTTGCCAGTTTTTATAAGTGTATGAGCCATTTTCTTAAGATAATTTTCTCTCTCTCTCTCTCTAAGCTTTACTGGTTTTGCTTCTCTAGAGGACCCAGCCTAACATATCTCTGTTATGATATTATATACTTGAATTTTGTGTTGAGGTGTAAAAACCTTAACTACCTCAAACTCTTTTCAAAGTGCTTTCCAATAAAATTGTATTTAATCTAGAAGACTGGCCTGAATTCTATTAATATTATCAATGATGACTCTTTGAGAGAAGTGTTTTAAATGAATAAATAAATGGAAATTGTTAATTTCAAAACTGTCTTGGTTGTATTTGGTATCCTTTGTGTACCAATCTATATAGTTAATGAGATGTGTGTACTCTGTGCTGGGCTCTGAAGATGTTCAGGGATATCTCTTGTTCTCCAAGCAAGAAGCTGTCCTTTCTTTTATAAATGCAAACATTGAGACATTACATTTTCTAGTTCATGGCTTGAACCATTGTAAGAGTTATAGTAAGGATGGATTTGGTTTTATAAATATTTTTGTTAAATGACTCAATGGAAAAATGTAAATTAAATTATTTGATAATTTTAATTCATTTTCAGAAAATGGATAATTTTGAAAATTTATAAATGTTAAAGGCATAGGTGGGAAAAATATGCATTGCAAATTTTCATTGTGTAAAATAATTTTTTTTAAATGCTAGAAAAGTTGGATCAACTCAAATTTTTTTTTAATAGGGAAAGTAGTCACTGCATTTATTCCAAGAAACTCTTATATGTGGGTACTGAAACTGTATGGGATTTAAAAGAAATAATCTAACAACCAAAAATTGGATAAATTCATGAAATAAAATTGAGGTATTACCCTAAATAGTAATAAGGCAATTTGCATCAGTTTCTCAGAGAGTTATCTGCAATTAAAAAATAAAAAAGAATTGCAGTTTGTTAACTCAAATTATCTGTATTATCTTTTTTACATTCAAATTGCAACCTGAACATTTATTGTATTTCTTCTCACATGTAACACATAGCGTGCACAAGAAACTCTCCCTGGAGTGGGTTGAGCAGTTTCCAAAAAGCCTGTTATTTGCGTAAAAACAGGGTAGTTGTTGAGCTTTGATTTAGTGGGTATTTATTCTGGAACCATATGTAAAACATAATAGAGCTGTACTGGGGTCCCGGAGGAACTCAAATGCTCACTTTTCCTCTGGGTTCTTACAATTTTTTGCTTGTCTTGACATTAGGAGATAGCAAATGACTCTCTTCATGCTGTTTATTAAAAGCTGAGATAGTTGGGAAAGAGATGGAACGCATTTCCATTTGTGTTTTGCTCTGACTGTATTTGTTACTCAGTAGTGCTGTGCAAATGGCTAGACCTACATCCCGGGAATTATTTCTCTGGGTTGTGCAGACTATCTCCTTAATAGCGTAGTTGCTGACACTGGCTGCCCACGAACTCTATTCCTTCATATTTTGCCTTATCTTCATTTCCCCAGGAAAACACGGTATCTGCAGACGCACTTAGACTTTTACCTCTTTCCTTTCCCCCTCCTACCCCTCCCTAGAGCTCTCTGGGCTTTGACGTCACGTGTGCTCCTTTCAGTTGCTATAGCAACCCCATTCCCCAAGCCCTCTGTCCGTCTCCTCTGGTAGGTTCCACAATGGTACAGGCAGCATCACGCTGCACAATGGTTTCCAGGCAGTGAAAGAGGGTGATTCAGCAAGGCACTCTTCTTCTGTTAAAATCTTCCTTTTCTCTTTTTATTTTTATGGGGGTGAGTGGTGCTTGTTATATGCTTATCTTTTTCTTTTCTTTTTACATTTTTACAAATTTCCTTTTTCCTCCTCACCCCTCAATTTCTAGGGGCTTTGAGTGACTTTAAGATTGATTTTTCTTGGAAATTACCTATCCATCGTTAATTTTAAGCAATTGTCTCACCTCTAAAGACTCTCTGCCTTATAACAGTTTGGAATGTGGTTAATGAAAGACAAGTAGGGAGGATTTTGGGGGCAAACACTGCCGGATCAGGATCGTAGTTCTCAGGCACGGAATGGTAGGTGGTTCTTTGCTCATTCTGGGTTCTAACCTGTTTTTGGAGGGTGGGACGATGGCTATTGATTGCTCCTGGTGGGGTAGAAGAGCTAGCAGTGGGAGAGGGGAGAGATAGAGGGTGGAAAGCAGGTTAATGAAGTGAAGTACCTCTGAGGCAAGAAGCCACCAAGCAGCCTTTGGCTCTGTGCAGAGCATCTTTCTTCAGACTTGGGTGTGTTGCAACCTTTCTGTTTGGAGTGAGTGGTGGCAGAGGGTGAGAGGGAGCATTCTTATTGTGAGCAGGGGTTTTAGACCAATGCAGGGCTACTGAAGGGGGGGGGGGAGAGAGAGAGAGAGAAAGAAATAGAGAGAGAGAGAGGGAGAGCCAGGGCCAGGCAGCAAGAGCACTAGCTGTGCTTGTTAGAAGTGCTGACCTCAGTCCCATTTCTAAGAAATGCTATGGGTTCCATAGGAAATTAAGAATAATGCCCTTAAGTATGCATTTATGTTTATTTCCTAAGAGGTGTAAACTTAAATAAACATTATAGGCCATATTTATATATTTTAGTAGGGAATGATACTTATATATTTTTAGCTGCAAAATGAATGGCTTTACTCTTGCAGAGAGACTCTAAGTGAAATTTGGACTGGGGAGAGAACACAGAACAGGGATCAGGTTAGAATTAAGACGAAAAACTGTCACTGCAGTCACATAGGTGAGGGGTCCCTTTAAGAAAGTGATCCTCTAGTCACAGCAAGCACCATTTTTTTTTTTTTTTTAATGGCAAGATTCCCAGGTATTCTATACCGGGATTCTGTGTCCCCTAGAAATGTCAGAGCTCCTTTAGCAGAAAAAAAAAAAAGCTCAAAAAATGAGTATGGCAATATATTTCTCAGTATCTGTTTGTGCATACAGGAAAATAAATGTGACCTATTGGAAAATCTTCAAGTAAATAAAGTGATAGACATTTAAAACATTTCTATCTATCTGTATTTTGGTTCCTACATTTAAATCAGGGAATGCCTTTGCTTTTAACCCCTTAAAGAAAAAAAAAAACTTCCCAGGGCACTGCAGTTTAGCCATAGCAAAAGAGTGGCTTATCCCATGGAATTCTGCTCTGAAGCAATCACAAGGTTGTTTACACGGACTGCCTTTGCTGCAGAGCTTCACAGTGTCTTAAGCAGCCCTGCCTGCTTCTGTTGTGTTGACTACAACTTTCATGAAAGAATCAAAAAGACTCAGGCTAAGTCATACAGGGCAGGTCACAGTTCATATTGAAGGAAAATATGTATAAATGCACCAGATATGGCCAGCCCAAGGTCCAATTTCTGCTTCCATCCCTAATCTGCTTGTTGTCGGACCCTGGAAAGTCTCCTAGAGTGCTGATCAACACATTGAAAATGGTTGCAGGAATGACCGTTCCTTTGAGAGAGGCTTATGCAAATTTTCTACCTTAGCTGAGCTTCTAGGTAAATATAGATAGTGATGCTCATGAATTAGCTCACAAGCTCCAAAGCTCACTTTGGAACCATTGGATTTAAGGGGCTGTACAGTTTGGGGCTATAGCAGTCTTGCTGCTTCTGGTATGTATTCCGCTCTCTACCTTGATCTTACTCCTAAAATTGACGTAAAGTATTGGATTAGCTTATTGTATCACGTGGAACAAGTTGGTTTTTCTCTTCCCTACCATGGGACTAGAAAATCAGATGACAAAGGTGGTATTAAGTATTAAGGTCCTTATGCTTTCTTATTTGCATTTCACTCTTTCCTGTTATAGTGAAGTATCCTTAATTTGATGGGCTCCTGTCCTTATAGAATCTCCACAGTTTCTGTGAAATGATTCCTGATGATGAGGCAGTAAGAAATTACATGTAGAGTGGAACAATCAGCTGCCTCCAGCTTTGTGCTTTCTTGCTCCAGAACAGCATCTGCTTTTGGGAGGAGTGTGTTTGCCATGCTGGAAAGGGATGTTTATGAACAGATCCCAGAGGGACTGAGTGTGTTTTTGCTGTCATTGTCTGGTACGTCTGCAGCTATTAGTGTTTAATGATTTCATAGTACATGGGCAATGTTTTTCAAGGTTAGAATGAAGTGCAAGTTGATCAAGGATGCTATAATATGCATGTATACTTTGCACTGACAGAAAAATTCTTAGAATTTCCTTTGTCAGTATATCCTATAAGAACATTATAAGCAAAAAGAATCTGCTTAATCTAAATAAATTGAAAAGCCTACCATGTTTAAAAGGAGTTCTGGTAGCGTAGTGCCTAAGGCACTTGACTGCTAACAAGAAGGCTGGCACTTCAAACCCACCAGCCACTCCTCGGAAGGAAGATGGGGCAATCTACTTCCATAATAATACTACCTCAGAAACCCAAGGAGGGGTCCCTATGAGTTGGGTCCGACTCGATGGCAAATAACAACAACAACAACCATGTTTAAAGGCCTTATATATTTTATAAATACACACACACACACACACACACACACACACACGTATATATATAAAGTTTTATTGTGGCTTCATGTAAATGGATCTGTTTCTTTTGATGTAAGCTTAGTTACAAAGTCTTTTTATACTGACAATAAAAGATAAATAGGTTTTTTGTTTATTTGTTTGTTAAACATGCTGGCAGATGCTTTCCCTTTCTGCTTTGGTCCTAGGTTCAGGTCATGTTTGCAGCTATAGGACTTTTAGTGGAATTGTATTTGAATCAAATGATTTGCTTGGTTGCTTATTAGAATAAGGGCTCAAACCAAGAGAGACTTCCCTCAATTAGAATAAGAAGTAAACAAATCAACATTTTAAATCTTTTCTCCATTGCCCCTACTATTTTTTTTTTTGTAGTCTCTTTTAAGCTTTTGGTTGGATGTTGGAACACTTATGCAAAAAACAGACCCAAAAGTGTCCAATAATGACAGGAATGGAGTACCATGCTGTTTTTGCCGCAGACTTGTTAAGGCCTCCCACCTCTTTCCACCACACTTGTACCGATTACACCTTGTTCTGTGGGACCAAGGACTTGTAGAAAAAGTTGGGCCTATAGACTGCTGGGATGGAAAGCCTCACTGGTAAAGAAGAACGTAATCATGTCTGTTACATCAGCACATTAGATGTATTTTTTTGTATTACATAAGTCCAAGATAGACACTGTAGTGCTGATTCAGATAACAGATCATGCTGCATATTGATTGTTTGATAGAGAAAACGTAATTTAGAATAAGCTCATGTTTTCAGGAATTTACCTATCTGTACACATTTCCATAACAAAGTTGTTAGGTTTTACTAAGATTTTTCATTTTGGATAAATTTTACCCTTTCAAACAAATCAAGATAATGAAGGGGAAAATGAAAAAATATGTATGTTTTGGGTACTGTTTTTTTCTGTATGTAAAGCCTCATTTCTTATGGTGAATCTTGGCAGAAACTCAGCTAAGTGGAAACCCCAGGTGATAGACCCCTAAAGAGAAACATTTTAGATTTGAAAAGTGGACCTCAAACTTACACTTATTTTTGGTAAAGAATTTTCTAGTTTTATTGATGTTTTGGATTCATAGCAAGTCACAATGACCTTTCTCACTGTTCTTATCCCTGGTACCTGTGAAATTCATAGGATTATAGAGATAATATCCCTAGGAATGGAAATTAAAGGTTTGAATGGAAAAAAAAAAGTGACTGATGGCTCCTAGGAAGCATTCCTAACCACATCTGTTCTGAAACCCTGTGTGGTGTGCTGAATTAAGAGGAAGCTTCCCTACAGGGCAGCCAGGCATTTGGAGAGTGGCCTGAAAATAAACGGTATTTTTGCTACATTTTTTTGTGAGGGGAAGCAGGAAACAACAGCAATGACTTAAAAGTATTAGCCATTTACTGAGTTGTCATCACAGAAACAGCACTGCCTCCTGATGTGTAGATATTAACTGTCTGGGTGCTTTGTGTGACTCCTGAAAATGGGTTGCTTAAAGTAATTGTCCTCTTCGCTTACACTGGAAATAGAATATGAAAGTATGGACAGTGAAGTATATCTTTTAGATCTGTTCATTTGGCAATGTTTAATCAGTGTCTGTACTTCCTCCACCACAGCATTGTCACACGTTACATTAATTGCCTATTCAGTAATCTGTATCTTCTGTTAGAGTCACTGGGTGGTACAGATGATTAGAGTGCATGGCTGATAACCAAAAGTTTGGAGGTTCAAGTTCACTCAGAGATGCCTTGGAAGAAATGCCTGGCAATCTGCTTCTGAAAACTCAGCCATTGAAAACTCTATATAGCACACTTCTAATCTGACACACATGGGGTGGCTGTGTGTCAGAGTTGACTGGATGTCATCTGGTACTGGTATCCTCCACAAAACTGGAATCTCTGTCAGGGACTGACAGTGTCTGTCTGGCACACAGTAAACCAAAAGCAAGCCAATTGGTACTGAATCAGTCTCAATTCATGGTGACCCCATGTGTTTCAAAGTAGTTCTATACTCCACAGGGTTTTCATCACTGTGAGTTTTTGAAAGCAGATCACTAGGACTTTGTTCTGTGGAATCTCTGGGTGATTTTGAACGGCCAACCTGTCTGTTAGTCTTTCAGTATGTATCCGTTTGCACCACCTGAGGACCCATTTGGCACATAGTAGGAATACAATAAATATGAGTTGAATGAATGTCTCCCATGTACATACTTCTTTCTTAAGTGCTGTGGGAAAGATTGGGAAACCGGAACCCAAAATTTTGTAATGGGAAACTTATAGCCACTTGAGGATGTAACATATATTTAAACACTTAAATAACAGTAAAGATGGTACATGGTTAAGGAGCCGTATTAGTGGGTTGACATTAAGTGCAATAGAAAGTCAGAGGAGAAAGAAATTCATCTCCATTGAAATGATGGTTGGTGAGATTGGAGGCGACATTGGGAAGACTGGTGCAGTAGGATGTGGGGGAGTATGCCTAGCAGCAGTTTAAGTACTTCTCCAGGAAACAGACTCTTATTTGCAATAAGAGTGAAGGATTATTTTGAGTATGGTGACCATATTTTCCAAACCAGAAAGCAGAACTTAAGTTTTTACTGTGGAAATGGAACACTGGAAACTGACATAGTCCTGGATAATCTGGTCCAGTATAATATTGGAAAATAACAGGCGATAAGGTTGAAAGCAGGTTTGGAACTAGATCATATTATGTTGTTTTAGGTGCTGTCAAGATGTCTCTGACTCACAGTGACCCTATGTACAACAGAATGAAACACTGCCCAGTCCTATGCTAGCCCCACAATCCTTGCTGTACTGGGTACATTATTGTAGCCACTGTGTCAATCCATCTCATTGAGGGTCTTCCTTTTTGCTTATTCTACATTTTACCAAGTGAGATATCCTTCTCCTGGGAATAGTTCCTTCTGACAACATGGCCAAAGTAGGTGAGATGAAGTCTGGCCATTCCTACTTCCAACTAGCATTCTGGCAGCACTTCATCCAGGACAGATGTGTTAGTTCTTCTGGCAGTCCATGGTACTTTCAGTATTCTTCAGCAACACCGCAACTCAAAAGCATGAACTCTTCTTCGGTTTTCCTTATGCATTGTCTAGTTTTCACATGCATATGATTTTATTGAAAACACCATGGTTTGGGTTAGGTGCATCTTAGTCTCCAAAGAGACATCTTTGCTCTTCAGCACTTTAAAGAGGACTTTTGCAGCATTTTTGCCTACTGCAATATGTCATTTGATTTCTTGATTGCTGCTTCCATTGGTGTTGATTGTGGATCCAAGTAATGTGAAATCTTTGACAACTTCAGTCCTCTCTCCATTTGTTGTGATACTGCTTATTGGTCCAGATGTGAGGATTTTCATTTTTTTTTTTTATATTGAGGTGCAGTCCATACTGTAGACTGTAGTCTTCAATCTTTATCAGTGAGTGCTTCTAGTCATCTTCACTTTCAGCAAGCAAGGTTGTGTCGTCTGCACATCACAGGTTGTTAATGCATCTTCCTACAACCTTGATGCCATGTTCTTCTTCATATAGTCCAGCTTTTAGGATAATTTGCACAGCATATAGATTGAATAAGTATGGTGAAAAAACACAACCTGGCACACTCCCTTCCTGATTTTAAACCAAGCAGTATCCTCTTGTTCCATTCTAATGAAAGCTACTTGGTGTATGCACAGGTTCTTCATGAGCACAATTATTTGTTCTGGAATTCCCATTCTTCTCAAAGTTATCCATAATTTGTTATGATCCATATAGTTGGGTGCTTTTGCATAGGCAATAAAACACAAGTAAACGTCTTTCTGGTATGTTTTGCTTTCCACTAAGATCCACCTGAATCAGCAGTGATGTCCCTCTTTCCACACCCTCTTTTGAATCCAGCTTGTATTTCTGGAAGTTCCCTGTCAATACACTGTTGCAACAGTTTTTGAATTGTCTTAGCAAGATTTTACCTGCATGTGCTGTTAATTTTATTTTTCGAGGATTTCCACATTCTATCATATTACAGAAGACTATAAATTCAGGTCCCTTTCCAGCTTCAGACCAACTTCAGTTTTGTTTTACTTTATTTCACAGACTTCAGAGGTTTTCAAACTTCCTCTCTTCCTTCTCTTCTTGGTAGCTTTGTTTGCCAGTGTTCTAATGAAATAGTATATGAAAAGCAGAATATGTAAACATACATATGTAAAGATACATGATGGTGGGGCTGCCCTAGTTGAAGTGGTCAAAATAACAATTACTCACTCAATCTTTTTTATGTTCAGATTTTAAATATTTAGCTATTTTGGTAAGGAGCTCTGGTGAGACAGTGGTTAAGGCATTTGGCTGCTAAGCAAAAGGTTAATGGTTCAAACCCACCAGTAGGTCCATGGAAGAAAGTTGGATCAGTCTGCTTCCTTAAAGGTTTATAGCCATGGAAGCCCAGTGGGGGTTGCTATGAGTTGGAACTGATTTCATGGCAGTGAGCTTTTTTCTTTCTTTTTTTGGAGTTGGGGACCTGTTTTGGTGTTGATAACAGGAAAGTTCTTGTGCTTGTGATAAATTCTGAACAGTTAACTACCTTGAAGATGTTTTACTCCATCCCCCCTTTTCCTCCAATTTTGTTTAATTAAAGTCTTTTTGTTTTCTAAATATAAGAAATTCTCATTTAACACTTAAAACAAAAATTGTGTGTCTTTTGACTTTGGTTTTAGGCTAGTGGGAGTAACACCAACAGCAGGACCATCTTTGATCTTCGTTATGGCAACTCATGCAAGAAGCTGTTGAATTAGACCCATTTTCCATAGATGAGAAACCATACAAGCAGTGGTGAGTTGCAAATTTTAAAATATTCCTTAGTGAGAAACATAATATCTGTGTATCCAATTTCAAAATTTCATATGGTCCACTTTCAATATTGCACGTGATTTAGTGTGTAGATCTGAAGAAATACTGTTTCAAATAATGTCAACTAAGAAAGTGAAAATCAGTAGGACAAGATGTTTAATTGACAGTACCACATACAAATGTGAGGTTGTGAGCCGTGCAGGTGCATTGTAAGACACCATGATGCTCACCATGGATAATCCCAGCCTGTGTAAGATGCAAGATGACTATAATTAATAATTTCATGTGACTGAGTGACAGTATTTTTAAGTGGCTTTTGTTGCTTGCAACATATTTCTATATTTTACTGATTTACTCCTCTAGTAGAAAAATTGGTTCTAGGTAAAGTTATGATACCCAATTCTTTTCAGAATTGTGTGTGTATGTGTGTGTGTGTGTCTGTGTTTACATAACAGTTACATCTTCAGAAAGAAAGGAAGAGAAATCACATCACAATCTTACAAAACTCAATTTATGGAATTTTAATCTATAAATATTTTTACTTAATAAAAACAATATTAAAAATAGATCCAATTAAAAAATTACTTGTTAGAAAAGTTCTGAAAATTTATTATTTTATAGTAACATCACCAAATAGAGACACAATTTCATTTTTCATCAAATACTTGATACTTCATAGTTACCGAAGTCAATAATCAATAGACTCCAGCAGATGAATGAGTTATAATCTGTCATATAACATCTCTAAAAAATAAAGTATGACGGGTGTTTGTAAGACTCCAATTGAAGCTATTTTGAACTAGTATTAAGTGTGTAGACTAAAGGAAGCACAACAGAGGAGAATTTAACACAGGTGGCAGTGGGAATTTATCAAGGAAGGATTTTTAGAGGAAGTAATATTTTATCCCAATGTTTAGGACAGTAAGGGGTTACCCAGAAGAAAAGAAGACTCAGTGCAGAGTGGGAACATTTCAGCCTAGGAAACCAATCTGATGGGGTTGCCATGAGTCTAAATCCATTTGACCAAACCTAAGAACAACAATCCTTTACTTATGTAGTCCTCTGTCATCCTTTAGGACTTTTTCTACTCAAAGAAAGGTCTGGGTATTCAGTGCATGGGCATCACCTGGGAGCTTGAGAGAAATGTATCTCAAGTCTCACTCCAATCTACTGAATAAGAATCTTTTTAGCAAGATTTCCCAGTGATTTTTTTAAAAAATATATTTTGTTGAAATATGATTTATGTACAGTGAAATACACAAAACTAAAGTGACTTGGGTCAATGCATTTCTTTCTTTCTTTTTTTTTTTTGCCGTGTTCCATCCCTTTCCCTCTCACTCATGGTAACCAACAAAGAAAATTTCCTTGCATATATAAAGCATTCCTTGACCTTTTACAGTAATGAACTAATACTATATTTGTCCTTCTGTGATTGACTTATTTCACTCAGCATATTGTCTTCTAAGTTCATCCATGTTATGTGGTATTTTGCAGATTCCACATTATTCTTTAGTGTTGCATAGTATTCCATTGTACATATGTACTATGGTTTGGTTATCCATTCTTCTGTTGATAGGCTGCCAGTGATATTTTTATGGATGTTAAAGTATTAAAAGTACTGTTTAGACTCATTGGAGACTTCATCAGGTGTTGCCTCCTCCTGGAATTGTTTCTTGACCCCTTCAGTTAGGTATTAACTCTTCCTCTCACCTGTGTGTATCTGTCTTACTGCATCTCCACAATGTTATATTATCTCCTTCCCTACCTTAGCCTGTGAGTAATCTGAGCCAGATCTATTTATTTTTGTTTTTCCCATGCATAGAATATGGCCTGATACTTGCTAGACACTGGGTGTTTTTTGAACTACTGTTTGATGAAAGAAAGAAAGAAAAAAGAGGAAGATATATATATAGAGAGAGAGAGAGAGAAAGAGAGATAAAGATTGGACAAAGAAAGATTCAAGAGGAAAATACACAGCCAAAGGGATTTGAATAGAGAAATAAGCAAAAGGCACCAAAAATTGTATCCTCGGTACAAACTGAAAAGCAGCCTGACCGAGATTCTACAATCTTTATCAAATACATTGGATGATAACTGTGATTATAGTTTGTCAAATATCTCAGAATCAAAGACCACTTTAATTTCTCATATAACATTACAGTTTTTCTTATTTAGTAATTTTTGCCAAAATTTGTTTTATTTTCCTTATTAAAGTATCCTCCTATTCTCTTTACAATCAGTGTGTTTGGATTATTGCATGCCATTTTTGGTGCCCTGTATTTGAAGGAAGGAGCTCTGGTGGTGCAATGGTTAATTCCCTTGACTATTAACCAAAAGGTCTGCAATTTGAACCCACCAGCTGCTCCACGGGAGCTCTGGTAGCATAGTGCCTAAGGCACTTGACTGCTAACCAGAAGGCTGGCGGTTCAAACCCCCCAGCCACTCCTCGGAAGGAAGATGGGGCAATTTACTTCCATAGTGATACTGCCTTGGAAACCCAAGGAGGGGTCACTATGAGTTGGGTCCGACTCAACAGCACACAACAACAACAGCTGCTACACAGGAGAAAGATGTGGCAATCTGTTTCCATAAAGAGTACAGCCTTGGAAACCTTATGGGGCAATTTTAGACTGTCCTATAGAGTTACTATGAGTCAAAATTGACTCAAAGGCAATGGGTTTGGGTATTTGGCGAGACATTCACAAAACGAAGTGGATTCTGCAGACAGTGATCTGTAGTAGAAATTAGAAAATAGATCTTGTGAAGGAGAATAAAGAGAAATTACAGTCTTTTAACTGGAGAAATGAGCAGAGACATAAAGGCAAACCAGAGACAGAGAAACAGTTTCTTGAAAATATTTTAATGGTTTTCACTTGATTTGTACAGGGAACAGAAATAAGAGACGAGTTAGCAGAGAGTAAATATCATGAATACAAGAACTTTTTTATTATCAGAATTGCTTGCAATTTGGTACTTTCTGAAAAGTAGTAAACTTTCCATCACTATCATTATTTAGGAGGATGGTAGTTGACCAAATACAAGAATTTTTTAGAAATGATACTACTTTGTGTGAGAGATGGAACTAGATAAACTTCTAAAGTCTAAGGTCCTTACAACTTATGAGTCTGTTGTTCAGAGAAGTATAGGTAGAATGAGGGTTATAAAAAAGAATTACAATAATAAGCTATATTTGTTGAGTGACTCTTTTGTCCCAGGCACTATTCAGAGTGCTCCACATGTACTAACTCATGTGATCATCACAGCAATCTTACTGAGCATTTCTATTTTACAGAGTGTATAGTAACTTGCTCAAGGTTATGTGGATAATGGTGGCAGAGCTGGTGTTTGAACCCATGGAGTCCAACTCTTAAGCACAAACTTTTTGTTTCACTGTATTGTATCCTTCTCAGTATTAAAGGTAAAAGTTAGACTTGAATGGTGCCTTAAAACACTGATTTAGTTTGAATTCCAAGTAATGGTAAAAACAGGATTTCCAAAGGAAGGTAATAAAGGAAGCAGAAAGAGACCCAAATTAGCATAATAAATTTGAGGAACAAAATTCTTTACAAATGAGATGAATAAAAGGATCTTGAAAAATTTGTCATTACCAGAATTACTGGTCATATAGAGACTGGTGGAACCCTCAAGACTATGGCCATGGGTTACCCTTTGGGCCTAGAAATGGACTCACTTATGTGGTTTACCTCTCAGACCAACAGTAGAAAGACCTACATGCAGAACACCTACCCAAGGAGATGCACCCATCTACCCTAGGAGATGCACTCCTTAGATCAATCAGCCATGAGACATCGGAGGAGAAGCAATCACATAGAGGGAAATCTAGACAGACAGGAATGCATAGATAAGAAGGGCACAAGGAAGAGGTAGTCACAGGGACTGGAGGGGAGGAGAGTTTGTTATGTTTGGGGATTTTAATCGGGGCGTGAAATCAAATGTGGATGAACTGTTTGTTGAATGTAAAACAAAGCTGCTTTGTAAATTTGCACCCAAAGCACAATAAAAAAAAATGTCATTAAGGAATGTTGTTCTGACTTGCTTCTCAATTGCTGCAACAGTTAGCAAGGTGAGAAATTAAAGGCTTAAGACTATATAACTCATAGTAAGTCTGAGATGAGCAACCTTAATGTTGTTTAAGATTTTACAGATACTTTTCTTCACTGATTAGTGGAACCTCAGGCTACATCTCTCAGGAAGATGGATTTAAGGCTTTGACTGTTTGAGTGTTCTCAAGTAATTGAGTGGAAGATCATGAAAATATATTTAATATCTTACTTTAGAAGTTAGAGTTCTCCTATAGCCAATTGTGAGAGTAAGAGTATAAACTTTAGCCTCTCTTAAGTTTCTTGATAATTCTATGTACTCTGTTAACCAGTGTAAGAGGAACTACTAATAAAATTAAATTGTTGTTGTTATTGTTAAGTGCCGTCAAGTCATTTCCGACTCATAGTGACCCCATGCACAGCAGAACAAAACACTGCCCGATCCCGCGCCAGCCCCACAATCCCTGCTATACTTGAGCCCATCATCGCAGCCACCATGTCAATCCATCTTGTTGAAGGCCTCCC